TAAATTAATGCTGATCAAATTTTAATACAAGTATTTTGGAGAGGGTTGGCTAATTATTTATATATTTGTTTTGTATTTTAAAAAAATTTGATACATTTAGATAAATTATAGACTGCAACCAAAGCAATAAGTTTTACAACAAAATCAAAATATTTGTTTTATAATCTTATAACATTAAGAAAAATATTCATGGATACATATTATTACAATTTCAAAATACCAAAACTATAGTATTTTGATTTATTTGATGGGCATTGATTTTCTAAAATTTAATTACATTTAAATAAATTAATAATCTTATTTATTGTATATTTGAAGCCAATCTATTACAATAATATTTTTTTCTGAAGTGTGCATATGTTATGTATTTTAAATATCCCAGAAATAATTTTTGAACTTCCAAAAGCTGCCAAATTTTATTTGTTAATTTATATTAAAATTCCTGAAGCCTTTTAGTATACTTAGAGTTAATTGATATAATAAATTAACTCAATAATATAGACTAAATYATTTGTTATTAGGATACAACTTTAGTATACAATAAAAATGAAAAAAGTCAATAATAATGGACCCTAAATATCTTTAGTTTCATTTATAAGAAACTCTTATGAAATGTTATGTATTTTTTAAAACTAATGGTTCTAAATGTTCTAATGATTTTAATCTTTTGTTAATTATGACTAAATTAAGAGATATTAACATTCCTTTAAAAAAAAATGTTATTAACTAGTATACGATTTTTTTTTTAAACTATGAAATGTATACTTTTTTATGTGAAATGAATTTGATCTAATACTTGACATTAATTGAACTATAAATCATTTTTATTTGTGGCAAGTTAAAAAAATTACCAAATAGATCAAATTCGTGCAATAATAATGTAATGACTTTAAAATGTTAAAAAACAAAATGTATTTTATTTATTTATTTTAGATCTGTTAATTATTGTTTTAAATTAAATTTTATGATTTATGAATGATTATAGTTTTTATTTTTCTGATATAAAAAATAGTTACTTTATTATTTATGGGCATGTAAAAACTTAAATTTTGATGTTGTAAGGCTCTTATTTCTTATAACATTTGAACTTCGGTTAGAATATTGATTAATTATTTCATTTTTACAGCTAAAGATACCAACAATAATAAAAATGAAGATTCATACAATATGTTATGCTAACATATATTTTTCATACATTTAATTCTATGAAATTCTTTTGCAAATTTGCATTGTTTATAATTTGGCTATGCTACCTGCATGCATTGTATCTGTCTTACAAAGGAATAAAATGGCGAATTGTACGGTCTTAGTAATACATTTAACTGTGATGTTTAATACTAGAGTGAATTAATCTATCATAAAATTAAGAAGTAAGAACATAGGTTGGTGAATCTCATAGGTTTTATTTTATTTTTATTTCAAAGCAATTTATAATTATTTTAAAATTATAAATTACTTAATATATGTATATCTTAAAATACTTATTCACTTTAAAATTATTGTGTATTCAAATACCCAAGGGATTTTCTAGATAAAATTCTTACTTATAAATGTGATGACAGATAAAATTGCTCCAATATTACACAAATAGGTGTTAAATGGGTTATTTAAGAACGTAGAATTTGCGGTGTTAATAAGACGGAAAATCACATGATGGTGTAGTGTCTTCTTAACTAATGTGTTTTAATTAGTAAATATTTGTCAATTATTTTTATAATTTTTGTTTTAAAAATGAAGTAGACAAATGGATACAAGTAGCTCTTTTGTACTGTAAGTCTCCAGAAAGTCACTGTTATGGATATTGTGTTAAATTTATAATTCTATATCATTGTAAATGAAAAATAATTCTGAGTGGAGACAGTCTATCATAGTATCATCCTATAATCTTTATAATTTATATAAATTCATGATATGTTTTTTTTTATATATCAATTAAAGTAATTTATATTATTATGATTTATTAGTACTAATTAGTAGGTAATAGATTAATTTTTCCCGAAAATATTAAATTATATAATTAATACTTTATTATTATAATTTTTAGCCTCCGTACCTCTGACCGAGAGGTCTGTAGGATCTCGAGTTTTATCACTTAACCGGTTGTCTATCAGAAAATAATGGTAATAAAAGTTATTATTATATTCTTAGTACCTACAGCATAGACTTTAAAAGTGTGATAAAATTGAGCGTTATTCTAAGGAAAAAACGCCGAATCGATAACTTTAAAACTACCTAATCTTGATTGTATCATCGTTTTTAACTCCAAGTACATAAGTTTCGAAAAAATCAATATAAATTTTAGGCTTGGTAAACTACAGTGTAGAGTAAACGCGTAAGAATCGCACAGCTGCGACAATATATCGAAACTAAGTCCGACTACCAAATTCTGACCTAATTAAATAGGGTTTWCAGTAAAGTAACGGATTTTAACGTATAACTTTCTTTAATGGTGTAATTTTTTTAGTCGAGTCCCCAGCGTGCTAGCATCTACGCGTTTTTTGTCGTAAGATCATTGGCCCACGATGCTAGTCTGTACTCGATTTTGACTACCCATAATGATACCTAATTACTATTATAGTTAATAATTATTATTTATAGTGACCGCGATACCTATTTTCWATTTTGTTTTAAGTGGATTCAATATTTAAATGTAGGTACCTATATCGTATAACGTAGATATCTAGCCATCTATATGTACCTGATTTGTATGTAATATTTTATATTATTTATAATATCATAAATGATAAGCTACCAATCGCCTATGGGCTATGATTGACGATATGTATAGGTTTGTTATTTGCAGTTATTATTATTAATTTCAAACACACAAAATATAAATAATTATTTATTTGCGTCAAGTCCATCGAACAGTACCTAGCAACAATAATATTGCTTGTTTCAARTTTGCTATAAAAAATTATTATCTAGGACTTAGGTACTTGTGTATATTATCAGGGCTGGCTCTTGATTTTTCAGCACTCAGTGTAAGTATTATTTCAGTGCCTACGACTTACGTGTTGTTGCACGCGTCGACAATATTACCGTGGTTAGGATTAGGATGGCTATTATTTATATTTGAATATTGTATTATTATTTATTATTCATTGCTCGTATAATATTTTATGTTATAGTCGTATTCGGTATGCTGATTCGTAAAATAAAATGTAAAATAGGTTCCTAGAAAGTAATAAATAATAATAGATACAAGGAAACAAGAAGGAACTTTAGGTTGGTGCTTGGTACCTATAATGGTATTGGTAGTCAACTACGTTAATGTATACTGTATATACTATACAGTATATTGGGTGGGGATTTGGGGACTTGGGTGTCCTTAGTCAAAAATCTCAATAACTTGAATTTTTTCTTGCCTTTTAAAGTGTTTTTAATTGTGTTTGAGGTTCCTATCTCAAATACAAAAGGTGTGTAACTTGAAAAATACATAAGTCGATTTTATTTTTATTTCTCTCCAAATTCTTTTTATCGAGACTCGACTGTATTTTAGAACTCAACTTATTACATTTTTAGAAAATGAACGTTGTGAAGGAGGTTAGGTTACCCTAACCTAACCTAACCTCTCAAAACGATGTGCAATTGCCAATTTGTACCTATCCCAGATTAGTAAATAAGTACATTCATAAATAATAAAATACGCATATTATGTTATACAMAAATCGATTGAAAAACGTGGAATATGTTTGTTAATCGTATATTTAAAATATTACATTCGTTTTAATTTTAGTGGTATTTTGCCAATCATAAAACTTATTATTTACAATATAATAATAAAATAYATAAATAATTTTTGATTAATACATAATATAAGTTATGTACCTATATCGGTTTAAAACTTACTATGACCAATTGATTGGTATAATATAAATCGTCCTTGATAGGAGTTAAGGAAAATGGCAATCACTTATTTTAGTAGACGAATTCACGAATTGAAAAATAATCGAAAATATYYAAGTAGCTKGTATATTTATGTTTATTATTTAGCGTGAATTCATTCGTTTAAGAATAACGACATAATTAAAAAATATTAAAAAATATTGGAACATTAAATTTTTTAATGTAAATACAAAATTGTAAAGATATCTATTACAATTTACATTATGTTTCGATCTACACTTTTATGCAGGGTGCTAATTTTAAAAGCAAACTAACCCATAATTATAGAAAATAGAAATAGGAATAAGACTRAAACTTTGAACGGTTGCAGAGTAAAATATTGATATTAGGTACCTATTATTTTCCAAATCTGATATTGAAACAACGTACTCGTAAGCCTAACCTTTATAAGTAATAATCTGACCAGTTTTTAATTTCATACAATCTGAATATCTAGTTTAATTTTAATAAATCGCTTTATACATTTAATTATTGAATAAGGACAGATCAAGTGAAATAGGAATTATCCATTTGTACCAAAATAAATTAATCCGTAATATAGGTTAAGCTTTATCTGCATCGAAATAAAAAAGTACGTTTTAATCAAYAGTTTTTTTTCTGTGCTGAATTTCACTGGATTTTCCATTTTACAGTAATATTGGTTTAATAATTAACAATTATGTAAAATATATTTACTTTAACAAATTTAAAAACAAATAGTTTTTTTTTTT